GTTCTCCAACAGGTGTCTGTTCGGCGTCTGTGGCAGAACTGCAAGTTCATCCACGAGTGAGAAATGTAAAGCGCATTGTTTATGACAACAAAACATCTCAAAAACCGAGACAGTTTTGTCAAGAAGTGAAGCCGAGCCGACTGGAGTGAGGTCGGTTTTCTGCCTGTTATTTCTTACGGTTTCCTGCCTTGTAGCTAACTTGGTCTATCAAATGTCACGCCCGTAGGTGTCGGCGACCTCTGACGTTGCATTGATGAGATGTTTACCTCGCGTAACTCAAATAGTGTATCACCGTGGACTCATCATTCACATTTTCACTTTTTGAGTCAGATCCACATAGAAAGAGTTCCGACCAAGGTTTACCTGAATTACAACGACCTTCAAAAGTGTAATAAAAGGTGATGAAATTAGGCGCCATGCGAGCTCAGAAAAAAAGGAAATTTGAGGTATTCACGACAACGAATTATTAAAATTAGATCCAAGCAAAAACAGAGTGGAGGTCATGTGGAACGACGTCGTCTAATGTCAGACGAATGGTTCATGACTTTCAGATGCTCATACGAATTCGGTGTAAAATCTAGTTTGTATAGTTTTGAGCTCAGTTGTTATTGTTGAGTAGTTTGAAAGAATTATTAGACTGTCACATATTTAGTGGATCTTTTTGCATTTGTTTCTGTAAAATTCCTAGAAAAGGTGTTGAAGCATGTTTTTGGGAGTAGCCTACCTGGTCGGTTGGCCCATTTAATCCCTGCTTTCCGTGAGTATTACTTCATTTTTCCCAGAGCCTATTTCTGAACTTCCTTCTTCATCAGTAAAAATGGCATCTTCCAAACGACAAGCAGCATAGAGGATCAACTAGAAGAAAGGCGAGGTCTACGCTTCCCGGTCGCGCTGTACCTGCGTTTTACTCTAGTCCGGGGTTGACGTTTTTATTTGAAGGTGATTCACACCAAAATCACCTTGTTCCTGACAACCTCACTGCTCCACCAGAGGCCATTGAATTAGATCTGGCCAATCCAACAATATTTGTCAGAGCACTTCTGATCCCGTTATCACAATTCCTCGGGTGGAGCTAGTTGCGCTGCAGCTTGGCATGCAGCTCACTAAATTCGTATACGACGAACTCGACTTGAAAATTGACAAGATCAATATATATAGCGATTCGCAAATAGCACTAAATTGGATTCAGTCAGACAAACCCAAAGGCGTTTTCATTCAAAATCGTGTTCTCAAAATACGACGAGTAAGCGCGTCCTTCGCTGCGCAACATTTGCACTGCATGCTCCACTACATACCATCCCATGAAAACCCGGCAGACTGTGCACTCGAGGTTTAACGAAAGACGAATTATATGAACACATATGGTGGGAAGGCGCTAAGTTCCTGTTACAGGACGAAGATGCGTGGCCTCGATCAATGAGCTTTCAGTTGCCTGACACTAGTAACGTCAACAGTGGTCCGAATCCAATAACGCAACTCTCGACTATACATCTTGCCTCGTACAACACAAATGAACCAACAATCAATTGGCCATATTCACAAATTTTTCTCCTATATGTCATCATTTTGCCGTTCCTCAAAATTCATGTAAGATGCAAGTTATCAATAAACTCGGCAAGAAAGTTACGACAAGATAACGAAAGCCATACCGCGAGTTTCAACAAGTGCTACAACTCCGTCCTAGCACTCGAGTCATTACGCAAGAAGTGATCGCTGCTGAGATCCTATGCATAAAGCTTCCCCAACGTACTATAGTGCCATTACCAAAATATCAACATCTCAACGTTCTAAGCGATTCCGAAGGCATAATGCGATGTTACGAGAGACTTCCAAATTCTCATCTACCATTTCAAGCCATGACTCCCATACTCTTACGTCCCAATCATGAATACGCACGTTTGATAATCCTGGATGTTCATTAAAGATTAGGACATCAAGGAGTTACCACTTTAGCGAACCCGGTTAAAATACTGGATAATACAGGGTGCGCCAAAATTACGGAGACAGCACCTTTGCGCACCATTTGAACTGCTTTTTGAAATCACTGTCTCTTTCTCTGCTTCTCCTATTTTTTTATGTTGACGTGGCCCTACTTATCCTGTTTGACCGCTAAAACATATCATTACTACAATGGCTAAGCCATCCTGCTACCGTTCAGCAATCATCGAACTTCACGTCTCAAGGACTTTCGGCACGCGAAATCCAGCAGCGTCTTGGTGTCACATCGCAGTGTCATCTACAAGACCATTAAACGCTACAGGGAGCTAGGAACAGAAGCCGATCGGTCCGGAAGAGGAAGACGTGCTTCCGTGGTTACCACGAGTAATGTAAGGAAGGTGCGTGAGAGATTTCGGAGAGAGCCGGAGCGGTCAGTTCGCCAAATGTCGCGAGAAATGGAGATAAAGGAGACTTCGCTGAGAAGAATTCTACTCAAGCTGGGATTGGAAGGCATACAAGAAAAATAAGCGTCAAAAACTCACTGATGCTCAGAAGGAAAAGAGGAAGAAACGATCAAAGCAGCTGCTCAGAAGATTTGCGGCCGGACGACATTCAAAAATTCTCTTCACGGATGAGAAGCTGTTCACGGTGGAACAAGTGGTAAACAAGCAGAACGACCGCGTCTATGCTGTCTCGAACCCGTACGCGACTGTGAGCCGCTCTTCTCACCCAGCTTCTGTCATGGTTTTTGCAGGAATAACGGCTGACGGCAAGACACCGCTGTGGTTCGTTCCTGAAGGGGTTAAAGTGAATAGCCAACATTATCTAGACCTCTTAAAGGACAAACTGCTACCATGGGCTAATTCTCACTTCGGGAACCGCTCTTGGACCTTCCAGCAGGACGGAGCCCCCGCTCACAGGGCGTATGTGGTGCAACAGTGGTGCAAAGCCAACTTCCCCGACGTAATCAACTTCGACGAGTGGCCAGCTTCCTCTCCGGATCTGAATCCAATGGACTACAGTGTTTGGTCCGTTTTGGAAGCAAAGGCTTGCTCGAAACCTCATCGCTCTGTGGATTCGCTGAAGAAAGCTCTCCAGAAGACATGGGACCAGCTCGACGCGCCATACTTGCGTGCCACCGTCGATGCTTTCCCTCAGCGTCTGAAGGCTTGCGTCACAGCCAACGGAGGGATTTTCGAGATCCATTGATTGTTTGAATTATAGAAGTGAACAATAAACATTGTTGTATTATAAGTTCGTCAAAATTGTGAACGATTCGTTCAAGACGATTCGAATACCTTGTCTCCGTAATTTTGGCGCACCCTGTACATACGGGTCGACGCATAGTTCGTAAAGTACTAAAATCCTGCTCGACTTGCAAAAAATGGAATGTAGAGCTTACCGATATCCAAACTCTCCGTCACTTCCAAACAGTAGGACAACACCATCGCGAGTCTTCGAGAATATAGGTGTAGACCTGGCAGGACCCTTCCTAGTTCGAGATCAAGACAATCATCAAAAAAGATGGGTGTGCTTGTTCACATGTATGAGCACAAGAGCCATTCATCTAGAAGTACTAACTTCAGTGAGTGGCGAGTGCTTCATAAACTGTCTGCGTCGTTTCGCTGCAAGACGCGGTCGACCGAGAGAAATTATTTCAGACAACGCGACAAACTTCAAGTTGGGCCAACAACTAATCAGCCAAAATGAATCCGAAACCTTACAGAACATTTTCGACACTAACTCCCTAGAAAACTTTCTCGCCAATGAGTCGATCGCATGGAAATTCATAACTCCCTTATCCCCTTGGAAAGGAGGGTTTTATGAACGAATGATAGGTACATTCAAATCATGCCTGAAGAAAGTCATAGGCAGAAAGACGCTTTCTTGTGAAGAATTCTATACACTCATAATCGAAACAGAAGGAATGGTCAACTCGAGACCTTTAGCCTACGCTGGCAGCTCACTTGAAGACTCCATGATTCTTCGCCCAATCGATTTTTTAATTCCAAATGCTCAACCTTCTGCACTCCTCCCGCTAGCAGGAGACATGGAGGAAATGGGAAGCGACCCATCATACATCCCAACGATCACAACGAAACAAGCAGCAATAAATCGTTTGAACGATACGATTAAACATTTGTCACGACTTTGGAAAGCGTGGACGGAGCAATATCTCCTTGAACTACGCAACCTACATCAAATAAGGATAAAGCAAAACCAATTCACACGAACAAGACCGCGTGTAGGAGAAGTCGTTCTTATCATGGAAGCGAATACTGATCGCGGGCACTGGCCCATGGGCTTAGTGACTGAACTCAAAGAAGATCCTGATGGGGAAGTACGCGAAGTTGCACTCCGTACAGCTAACCGAGAAACTGTGAATTAGCAGCTAAATGACATACAGGGTGTCCCAAAATTATGGGCGCTGAAATTCAAAAATTTATTCAGCAAAAGCGCTCGTTTAGTCTCACATAGTTTGCTAATGATTAGTCTGCTCTACAGGGGTCCCACTGTGTAACAAGCGCATATAACACAGAAGCGCACTAATCCACACATCCAAGTTCATGCAGGAATGGTGCATGAAGGAGTTCACTGGAAGCAACACTGAAGGGAGCCTGGGAAGAAATACACGAGGAATACAGTCGATATCTCGAAGTCAGATTAGGCGTGGTTGAGATTAGGATTTGACGTGGACCATGTGTTCTCGACTTGATAGAAGCGGATAGTGGATGGGCTGTTTCTAAAATACACCGTTGGATGTCAGCAATGCATGCTGGGAAGAATTGAAGCAGCAACTTCTTCAAATGCAGCGGCCGGCACGTAAACCCATAGACACGCCTAATCTGACTTCGAGATACGGAGTATATTCCTCGTGTATTTCATCCCAGGCTCCCTTCAGTGTTGCTTCCAGTGAATCCTTCATGCACCATTCCTGCATGAACTTGGATGTGTGGATTAGTGCGCTTCTGTGTTATATTCACTTGT